TACACATGTTATGATGAGATGATTTTATATGGGGTCCATGTAAACAGATATTTGGAATTTCTGATCGACTAAGATTTAGATCAGATGGTGAAAATTTTGCACATTTAAACTGAGCTTTTATTAGGTTCTTAGATAAGAACTATGCAAGACCCTGCCTTTGGAAGAAGAGCACAGGGCTCTACTTGATGATTACAGATAAAGTTAACACAACACCAGGCCCTAATTAATACCTATTCACTGATAAGTTGATCACAAACCCTAAACCTACCCTGTTATCATCCCACCTATTGAGTAATCGATTGTTGCCACCTAGAAGCCCTGGATTTTTTTGTATTTTTAAATGGTTTAAAAAACACTTAATTGAGATAAAATTTTACATAGAAAGAGAGTGCCATTGACAGTGCAGACAATTCCCTTTGGAACCTTGAGTAATAATGAAGTTATTCATTTTACCAACTTTTGTTACCCTGCCCATTTGGCATCCAGAGTGGAACCTTCTGAGCCACTTTCCTCTTCAAGGTATAGTGGAAGATGTTTTTTTCCAGTTGGAGCATCAAAATAAGTGGTCGTCCTAATTGTCAATCATTCTGTTGATATGTTTACAGAAGGCGGTCCTATGTGCTTGTCCCCATTTTCACTTACGTGAGTCTGACATAGTGGAGAAAAGGCAAATCATCTTTTGGAAAGTAAGCTTGTATGAGTGATGCAAACAGCAACTTTTTAACATAGCGTGCACAAGGAGAAATGGGCTTGTGTATGCTCCCTCATGCATTTAATAGGTGTTCCCTCTCCGGAGCGGGTACAGGGTTGTCCATATGCATTTTTTTTTTAAGTGGAGAGGGCGGGTCTTTTCATAAATTTGCGAAAATCCTCCACTATAACTTTAATGTTCTTTGCAGAGTGCTGATTCTCAGGTAATCACATCTTCAATTTCTTTTTTATTTTAACATTACTGGAAAGCTTAGACTCCACGGTTTTGAGGATCTGTATATAACTCGAAATGGCCAAACATAGACTTGCTAATGGTTTTGTCACAGCCTCATATAAGAGCTCATTATACTGAAGAGAATTACCCCAGCATTTATCCCTATGATACTGCAAAACCTCAGAGCTCAAAGAAGATTGATTATTGAAAAACTAACATTTAAGCTA